AACTTATTTCCCATTTTCTGATTTCTGTAATGGATAACTATTTAATCACCAATGATAACAATGATCAAAAACCGCGACAATATAGGGTTTATAAAACATGTGTAAATAAAGTGACAGCTGGTAATAACCAAAGGATGAGAGGGCAAGTAAAAGTATAGTAATCTAAGGGCTTTTCCCCTCATACATAAATAGTATAATATTTGAAGCCATAATAACATGTAAAGGCATACTGTGATGATTTTAGCACGCTTACTGTGAGCCCAAAAGAACACTGAAAAAAGACAGAGCCATGAAGCCCACAGAAAAATCTCAAATGGAATACTACTTGAAAAAATGGGGTGGCAGCCACAACCACCCTCCTCTGGCTACACAAAGGAGAAGGAGAAGCCAGCTCCACACTGCCCATGGCCTGTGACCACAAGGCAGAGGTCAGACATGTCTCCAGTCTCCATCCTTCTTGAGCCTCTGCTGATCCTAACCACTCCTCCACGGCCCTCGACTTCCACTGGGTTCGATAATTCATTGCAATGGTCACACAGATCTCACAGACAATGCTCATAATTACGGGGCTCATTAGGGAAACCATCCTATTACAAAATGTTACGGCTTCAGTTCTTTTGTCCACAATGCCTCCTCTAAGCCTGATAGGCAAGACTCTCTGGTCCTAGGCCCCTCCGCTGCGCGGTCCCTTGTCCTCTGCCTTGTTCTATGTGCTGGGACGTCCACGGCTTCCTCAAGCTGTCAGCACTGCTCCCCTGCCCGGCCTTGTGCTCTTGGCACGGCACCTCTGCTGTGTCTCCTGGTCTTGGTGTGTGGCCTCTGCGGCCTCCACCACTTCAGACAGCGATTTCGAACTCTGCCGGTACTTCTTCTTTCTTGATGGTCATGGGAGTCTCTCCCCCTGCTACGAAGATGGGTCAATCTTACACCCAGTCCAACGGCAACATGACCAGTCCCCCAGTTAAGAGTTCTCCACACCTTATTTCCATGTTCCCTCCCTACCCCCTGGGTAGAAGTTACAAAGAGTACGGATAGAAGAGCCATATTAAACAATTACACATCACCACATGAAAAAGAAACATTCCATGGGACAAACCACACACAAATAGCAAGATGATAAGATTTAAGCTAAGCAAATTGATAACACTAAATAAAATACAACAAACATTCGAAATAAATGGTAAAGGGTATCTATCTTAACTTTAAAATAGCAAAGCCCAAGAAATCTATTATCAATATGAGTTAGAGATGTTAAAAATAAGAGTAGAAAAAGTTATACAATAAAAGTACTAATCACTGGAAAGCTGAAGTGCTTGGTTTAACATAGCACGGTAGCCATTAGAGGAGGAAAGGGTTCCAGAAATAAAGAGGGCCATCTTGTCGTGGTGTGGGGATCGCTTCAAACAGTGTACAAACCATCCCCAGACATGTATGTACCAAGTAAGGGAGCTTCTAAATACACAGTAGAAATCGCCAGAATTGAAAGAACCAAGAGAAAACATGCATTTGTAGTTTTAGATTCCAATATGCCTCTTTCCGTAGTTAACAGAACAAGTAGACAAGAAGCCGGTAAGGCCAGAGAAGTCCAAAGCAATCACACTGTCAGCCACCCTGACCTCGGTTAATCGTGCAAAGCACAACCCAGCATGGCACAGTGCGTTTATTTTCAGGTTCCACACACTAATATAAATCATCTACTAGGTCATAAAACAAGTCAAAACGCTCTTAAAATCCTTGAAATCGGGCAGTGTAAATATTCTCCAACCACAACAGAATTAGGCTAGATATCATCTACAAAATTATATCAATAAACCCTAAGCTATCTAGAAATTAAATGATATACTTCTAACTAATCCACAGCTAAGAAAATGACATGGAAAGTTAGAAAACATTTGAAACTGAATGGAAATAAAAAATCACATATCCAAATGACACAGTAATAGCAATGCTTGGAGAAAGATTTTATAGTGTTGAAAATTCTTCTTTAAAAGCAAAATGACCCAAAGTCACGGATCTAAGCTGGCACTGTAAGAAGCTAAAAGTAGAGCAAATTAAATCTTAACTGCCCACCTAGAAGTTATAGTAGTTGAGAGTGGACCCTTATTAGCACCACCCAGGGTCCTCCCAAGTAAGTAGGAGAGCAGATACCAAAACAATAGAAAACAAAGAAACAATTGGGAAAAATAAAAGGAACCAAAGCTAGATTTTTTTCGAAGATGGATCAACTTGAACCACACTCATTGAGGGCTGGGGTGGGGGGTGGGAAATACAAATTCCCATATCAGCTATGTACTACAAATAATAAGGGGAAATTGTGTGTGTGTGTGTGTGTGTGTGAATAAATTCAACAAGCTGATGAAGTAGAAAATTTCCTCCGAAAGGCAAAACCTTTCCAAACTGGCATGCGATGGGAAAATGCTAATAGCTCAGTAGCTACTAATGAGCTGGACTGCTGACTGAAAGCTTGGCGTTCAAAGCTGAGTCTTTCTGTAGAGCTTTACAGCCCGAGTGCCTCGGCGGAGCGGCTGTACTGTCCAGGAGGGTGACGATGAGTCAGAAGCCAGTGGATTACAGAGCTGTTAACATTCACATTCTCCAGTGGGACCTATCCCTGCCTGTGAAGATTCTAGAGCTGGCTCTGTGAGCAGGACAGCGTCCTGCAGGAGGGGACTCTTCCTCCTTCCCTCAGGCTGTTTTCACCGTCCTGTGGCTCGCAGCTCCTTGCAGCCCCGGGGCCATCCAGCACTGCTCACTGTGCAATTCTGCTCCCTTCTCCGTGGGGACTGGAGCCTCCACTGGAACTTACCTCTTCAGTGCTTTCACTAGCACACTTCCAAGGGATTCCCCCGGAGGTGTTGTCAGCAGGAAGGTAATTTCACGTGAACTTGACCAGTATTCCAGGAAATGGTTGGTCCCTGATTGCTGGCTCCAGCAAGCAGCATCTTAGCAAACTTCTATGCCACCTGCCAGGGCTATAGTCACACTGTCTCCAGTGAGCTCTGGCTCAGCCTGTAGAGGAAGCCCTCTCCCATTTTTTCTCCTCCCTTAGGTGCTTACTGCTTCCTGGTGGCACAGTGGGTTCCATGTTGGGCTTCTAACCACAGGTTAGCCGTTGGAAACCGCCAGCCACTCTGCAGGAGAAAGATGAGGCTTTTTGCATTGGTAAAAATTTCTGGTCTTGGAAACACACCGGTGTTTTCACTCTGTCTGATTGCGTCACTCTTGAGTAGGAAAGGACTGGATGATGGTGAATTTTTTGCTTACCTGCTCTGCCCCAGCCAAGAAATTTTGTATCTCTACTGGGGGAAGTGAGAAAGAGAAGGGGCTTCAAAACGCTCGCGGGAAGAAAATCCACAATCTTTTAAATCCATTATTTCCATAACCTGTCTGAAGCCTATTTGTACACACACACACAACACACTAATGCACGTACACCCTTTCCATTCCAAAGTCATCAAGTCCATGCAGCCCCAGAGGCCCCAGACAGAACTGCTCCTTCGGCCTTCCAAGGCTGTAACTCTTTACAACACCAAGTGCTTTGACTGTCGCCCACACAGAAGCTGGGAGGTCCGAAGAGCCCAACCCTTAATCCAGTTTATTACTACTGAAGGTTGGGTGGTGAGGCAAGCCACACTGTGGGATTTCCATACAGTGGCACCCTCAGCAAGAAGGACTGATCTACCATTAGACACAACCTCATTGGAAGAACCTCAACAGGATTGTGGGGACAGAACTATTCTCAAGGCACTTTTGAGAATATTTGAAACAATGTCAATCAAGATAAAAATCATAGTGTCAGCCATCGGGAGTGTGGGAAAGTGACTGTGCAGTATCTGAGAAACTTCTGGGATGACGGGACCGCTCAGGACGTCGGTGTGTTGGTTTCGTACTCACCCATCTGTCACAACCCATTGAACCGTGTACTTCAAATGGGGAATTTATGGTATGTTAATCATACAAGTTTATTTTTTAAATATGTAGAAACCTGAATTAGAAATCATTGCGTTTTAATCCTCCACCCCACCCCAACCACTATTTGTATTATTAGTTGCTTCTAGTCTTCAATAAATCCAATGCTGCTGAGTTGATTCCAACTCACAGCGACCCTTCAGGACAGAGTAGGACTACTCCCTGGGGTTTCCGAGGCTGAGAATCTTTAGGGAACCAGACGACCTCACCTGGTAGGCGACACGACTGAACTTTTGGTTTCCAGTCCCAGGTGTCGGCCACTGTGCCACTAGGACTCCTTCAATAGGAATGTAAAATGCCACGTCGCCGTGGCCTACATCACTCATTCACTTCCACTGAGTCAGTTCCAACCCAGAGCGAGCCAGACAGGGTGGAACTGGCCCCACTGGTTCCAAGACTTTAAATCTTTATGGGAAAAGACAGCCTCATCTTTCTCCCACGGGTGACTGGTGGGTTCAAACCACAGACCTTATGGTCAGCAGCTCAGCGCATAGCCCACTATGCTACCAGGGCTCTTATATTAGGGCACTGCAAGTCCCCAAACAGATATAATTCAACAAAGTTTAAAAGTCCCAGATGTACTGTACTGGGATTAATGACTGCGTTGTGGCTGAGGTGCACCAATGAGTGGATCTATGCTGGCCTGCATGAGAAACAGACACAGAAGGAAAGCCCGACGTTGAAGTAAAAGCAGGTTTGCCCTCCAAGGAACGAAGAGCACCTAACCGCACAACACTGGGGTGACCCACCTCCACGAGCTGGTAAAATGCTAATGTTCTCCTTTCTCTGCACACAGAGAGAAAAGAACCCATTAGCTAGTGTAGTCTGCCACCCGTGCCTCATGAGAAAACAGACCACAAAAGGCACAATGAAAGGATGCCCGGGAAAAGCACTACTACTTTGTTACAGACTCAGCTGGATTGGGCTTTCTTCCTCCTTCCAGCTGTCTGGAAAAACATTCACTGCCCTAAAAGAATCCCAAGACTCAACGTTGGATATAAAAGAATTATATAAAAAACAGAGAGTCAAAGGAATATTCTAATATTTTTATTGTATAAATAGCTTTAGAGGTAGTTGGTCAATGAGGCATTTTTCAAACCATCCCATTCTGCACACCCTGTAATTCAAAAACACCACCCTACACAGGAAAAGAAGAAACTAGAAAATGCTTTGTAAAGTGTAAGGACTATCAGTAGCAGTGGTTTTCAGGGGAAAAGCATGTCCAGTGTTGTTCAGTTTCTCATTCAGGCAGCATTAACTTACAGCAAGGGCCTCTGCTCACTTACACACCTGGCCGGCACTCAGCACTGATACATCCACCCCCGTGATGATCAAGGTAGCCACACCTGCATGATCGCTTCTGAGTCAGACGGAGCGTGAGCCCTCAGCATGAGGACCAAGTCCAGAAGTCCGGATCTGGTCTACTCAGAGCACTCCTGAGAACAGGACGCGACCAGTCCATCCTTCAGATTTCAGAGGACACATCAGGTGATGGTAATGACGGATGTATTGCCCTTGAATTGGTTCTAGCAAAATCTTCCAGATGTTTATGGGGAAAAAAGCAAAACAACTTTTCTCCCTACTACTCCTCATTCTCGTTAGCCTCCAAAAGGCTCACACATTGGTCACTCAAAACATGAACTGACTCTGAGCTTAGCTTTCGGCGTCCACTTGGAAGTTGTCGAATTGGGCAAATTCAAAGGAGTACGTCCCAATGGCAGCCCAGCCGCTCTTCGGGACGCTCACCTGGACGTTCTCCCACAGCAGTTTCCCATCCAACATGCCAGAGCAGAGGTGACCCTGGAGTGGAAAGAGACCCACATTCCTTGTAAACGTTTGGAAATGACCTTCTGAAATCTGTTTCTTAATCACGCCGGCTACACCTACTTAAACAAGCAAATGTCTTCTTTCTGAAAGCAAACGTTTGAAATATGGGAAACATTTTCTCAAAGGCAATTCTTATTTACCTACTTATACAATTTCTCCAAAGTAAAAGGAATGTCTCAAAATTTCCTCTGCTCCATTAAATATCCTTTGCTCCTATTGCTCTTAAAAGCGTGAAAATACTACAATTTCATGACATTATAATAAAGTTTTTACACCACGCCCATTAAAATAGACAGTGTTCCTTATTGGTGAGTAGTCACGTGTGCACGTGTGGTAGCTGTGGTGGAGACCCAACTGTGCTGGAGTTAACATGTCTGCCTCCACCCCCGGGTTTACGTAAGGTCTTCACCTAGAGCACTGGTTCTCAACTTCCCTCAAACCGCAGCCCTGTCATACAGTTCATGTGGTGGTGACCCCCAACCATAAAATTATTTTCGTTTCTACTTCATCACTGTTATGTTGCTACTGTTATGAATCAGGCCACCCTTGTGAAAGGGTTGTTCGACCCCCAAAGGGGTCACGACCCACAGGTTGAGAACTGCTGACCTAGAGCCTTAAGCTCCATCAGAAGAAAATAGATTCACCAAAAACTTCACTGTTCTAAACCCAGGCACAGATCACCTCAAAACTGGATGCTGCATCACAAGCACCTCCTCCTGAGTCAAACAAACCCTAACCGACAGTTCCGCTGAAGACCAGGAGAAAGTTTCAGGGTCCACAGATAGCGCTTACGTAAGGTGACCAGATTTTAACAATGGAAAGCAGAACACCATTGATAAAACTCATATCCTGGGGAAATAGCCACATGGCAGCCGAAAACCGTATACCCCAGCTTGTCGTGCATTCTTTCCAAAAATCGGGACTTTAAAGCGCTGCGAGACGTGGGGAAAATTGTTAAAAAGCGGGACGTCTGATCACCTTATGCTTACCGGTCACGGAGAGAGAGAGAGAGAGAGACACAAAAATAATGGCTTCTTTGGAAGGGGCCACAAGGCTGCCATTCCTCTTAACACAGTTCCTGGCACTTCATGACAAACAACAACAGCTCTAATAAAAATTATTCTACGGCCATGAGGAGACTGCCACAGCATATGAGTTACAGCCAACTATTTTCAACTAAGAGTAGAGTTGAAGATCCAAAGCACTAGATCAAGAATCAGACCAAAATGATGTTTGTCATCTTAGAACTCTAGGCGAAGGCCCTTAGTTCTCTGATGTTGTGAACAGAGCCCCTACAGCAGAACCAGGTTAAATCTCAAGTCATAGCTTTGACACCAGAGCGGCACTTGCACCCATGTCTTCCAACTCCACATTTCGACTACTTTAAACTCCCACGGATACCTTCAACTCTGACTGTGCTCACTGAGCCTTTTCTGTCATGTATGGGATAGTGAATATCAAAACTGAGCCCAGGACACGGTGTTCATAAGCCCTGTTCAGCATCTAAAGGTGCAGTCCTTAGATCTCATCCCCTCCTGGCTGCTCCTCACACACTCTTTGTACTAGCTGGTATCTTCTGCTTAGACCACACTTATCATTCTGCTCCCAGGCCAAAGGTCACCAACTTAGCAAATGCTCCCTTGACAATTCTATGTAGAAAATCAGATCTGGGAGCTCCTTTACTTCATGACCTCATTTTCACTGACTTATTTCTGTAGAAGTTCATTGCCTAGGATGGCAGTTGTCAAATATACGGCATGTAGACTGGTCACCTGTTGTGGTGAAAAACCCTGTTGTAGTAAAAAATGTTTTGGGGACGTGGCGAAACCCACCCTGGCATGCTCTGCTTTTGTACACCAGCACAAAAGACATCTGAGTCTTGTCAGCCTTCTTCACTCTTGTATCCTTAGCACTTAGAACAGTGCATATAAACCCAATACATCCACTGACACCGAGTGGATTCTGGTCTCATCTTCTTCCTGTAGCACAGCTGGTACGTCTGAACCACCAACCTTGTGGTTAGTAGCCCAATGTTTAATCCAGTACATCACTGGGGCACCTGACAACATATATACAAGGGGGTACCCCATCCCCAAATGGCATTGCACTGGGTGGAGCAGAGTTTTTGTAGTATGCATTTTTCCTGCTAGGTGAACATCCAGCAACTGAATGGAAGCTCAGTGCACCCAGTGGCATCACCTGGAAAGGTTCTCTCTGGTTACACTGAATTTTTTCGTAAAAGCAGTTTCACTCGAACCTTGCTCCATGCACCTTACTCCCTGACCTCACTATGCAACTTCTTTTTGTTTTTGAAAATGAAGAGGGAAATGAAAGACAGCGATTTGAAGATGTAGAAGAGGTGAAGAAAAAAATGAGGGAGGTGCTGTCCGCCATCCAAACAAATGAGTTTGAAAAACATTTCTAGGAATGAAATTGCAGATTTAACAAATGTATTAAGTGTAATGGAAAGTACTTTGAAGGTGATATGGTTGTTTTGTAAAAAAAAAATTTTTTTTAAATAGTTTTGAAAAAAAAAATTCTGCTTTTTTGGAAGGCAGGGTGGTAGCTCCCTGTATGAAAAAGGAGAATCACGGCCATGGAGTCAACGCTAACTCGCAGCGGCAACCCCAACCCATGTAACAGATACCAAATAAGATGTGTTAAATGACAGAAAGGCATTTTACTGTCAGATCCACCTCACAGAAGTTATCTTTGTTTCACAGATGAGAAAAGTCAAAGACGGGGAGGTGTGGATCAGCAAGGAACTATGAATGATTCCAGACACCCGACTCTGCTAGGAGTATTACCTGGATTCATAAGTGCTTCCCACATCTCAGGCCCTGTTCAACGACCTTGTTGTATGTCTTATCGCATTTAGCCCACAGAAGGACAGCTAATCAGGATTCAGAAGGGAAATGAATGGAAGCTCAGAGATGTAAACCACTTGGAAATGGCTTTAGTAGGTTTTGCATCCATTGCCCTAACCACCATGAAACAGTACCGCATGCACAGCACTAACTTGATATGTGCTGAAGAGAATAAGGAATACGGGGGAAGGGGGGACATTTTGGGAGTAAATAATGAAGACAGGAGGGGGGACGGAGCACTAGAATGGATTGTGATTGCATGCATCATCTTAAAGGTGATTTGACCATGGGGGAGGGAGAATGCTCTAAAATCCATGTGGGGGGTGATTGTACAATTCTCTGTAATATGATTGAGTGATTGAACTACTGAATTATATGATATGTAGACTACTTGCTAATAAAACGGGAAAATTCTAACAGTAAAAAAAGGCGAAAACGACATTCGTTTGTTGTCAGACAGACTACAGACACCACAGGCGATGAAGATGTCGTTAGTTGCTGTCATTTCCAACTCACAGCAGCCCGATCGATACACAACAGGAAACACCCCCGATACTGTGCCATCCTCCTAACTGCTGTGTGTGAGCACACGGTTGCAGCCACTGCGCCAATTCACCCTGGGAAACGCTTCCTCTTCTTTGCTGTCCCTCCTCCTTACCAAGAATGGTGTCCCTTCTCCAGAGACTGGTCTCTTCTGATAACGTGCCCAATGCACGTGAGATTAAGTCTCACCATCCAAGCATCGGTGGCACATTCTGACTGTACTTCTTCCAAGACAGGTGGTTCTTTTGGCAGCCCATGGTACTTCCAGTATTCACCAGCACCACTGTTCAAAGGCATCATTTTTTTCATCCTTCATTTAATATTCAACTTTCACATGCATGAGGCAACTGAAAATATCATGGCTTGGGTCAGATTCACCTTAATCCTCAAAGAAACATCCTTGTTTTTCAACACCTTAAAGAGGTCTTGCACAGCAGATTTGCCCAATATAATTTGGCATTTGATCTCGACTGATACTTCCATGATCAAAGAGTGTGTATCTAAACAAGATTAAATCCTTGACAACTTCAATCTTTTCTATGCTTATCATGAGATATTGGACCAGTTATAAGGATTTCTGTTTTCTTTACACTGAGCCGTAATCCACACTGAAGGTTACAATGCATGATCTTCATCAGCAAGTGCTCCCAGTCCTCCTCACTTTTGACGAGCAAGGGGTTGTGTCATCTGCATATCACAAGCTATTAATTCAAGCCTTCCTCCAATCCCGATGCTGCATTTTCTGATGACCTGCTCAGCATACAGCCGGAGTAAGTATAGTGACAGGATACAACTCTGAAGCACACCTGTCCTGATGGTAAACCATGCAGTAGTCCCATGTTCTGTTCACATCATTGCCTCTTTTTCCATGTTTAGTTTCCACATTAGGACAAATGAAGTGTTCTGGAATTCCCTTTCTTAAAGTCACCTATAGTTAGCGGTGATCCACACAGTTGAATGCCTTTGAGTAGTCAATGAAACACAAGTACACATCTTTATAGTAGTCTCTGCTTTCAGCCAAGATCCAGCTGACATCAACCATGATATCCCTTGCTCACCAATTCTGAATCCAGCCTGAATGCCTGGCAACTCCTTGTCAATATACTGCTGCAACTGTTGTTGAATAATCTTCAGCAAAATTTTACTTGCATTTGATATCAATCTTTTTTTTTTTAATTTCCGCATTCTGCTGCATCATCATTTTTTGGAATGGGTACAAATATGGATCTCTTCCAGTCAGTTGGCCAAGTAGCTTTCTTCCAAATTTCCTGATATAGAATAAATGCTTCCAGTGCTAATGTTGTTGGTGCAACTTGGATTTCTTCTTTCAGTACCACTGGTTCTTACTCCTATACTACCTCCTTTGGATGAGGTTGGCTTTTGTAATGTATGCATACAGCAACTATTTTTATAACAAATGTTATTTGATGCATTGAGCATTTAGGATGAACAAGAAAGACAAGGTTCTTGCTTTTCTGGAGCTTAAGTCCTGGTAGGAGGCAATACAGAAACACAATTGGCAAGACTGGAGTGAATGCAACATGACCAAGGGCAAAGAAAGACTCTGGAAGGAGAACAAGAGAAAAAGACAACAAAAGTATAGGTACTATTGTGCACACAATCCTGCAAGAGTAATCGCAAAGAACTACCAGAGTAAGAGTCGATGTACAATAGCCAGGCAAGCAGAATGGATGTGAGGCACATCGGAGTATAGCCATGAGCACAGAGAGGTTGGACAGAGGCTCTTTCTACCTAAATATTCACTTGTGCTACAGATACACCCAAAGATCTCATAGTGCACACAGCGGGCAGAGTTCTGGAAACCATTTGGCCATCACCAAACACCCGGATGTCACCAGATTTGGGGACTTAGGACGACTGTCTCAGAAGGGATCTAGGTCAACTGGCATAAAACGGATACACAAAGGCAATGCCCCACATCCTCCTTCGGTGAGCTACAAGAAATAGGGTCTTAAAGGCCTGTGAGTGTCCAGCACAAAGGGGAAGCAGGACGTATTTGTTTTCAAGAAGCCCTTTCAGACAATTTGATTTTCTAAAACCCTGTGTGCAAGTTATCTAAAAAAAAACACACCTTAATTAAGGAAATGTACTATTTAAATCCTGCTCATGATTTCATAAACTTACTAAAAGTAAGCCTAACCAAAAACATGCAAGGAGAACAAAAATCAAAACAAAACCCCAAACTGGACCCCTTCACTGAACACAGTGCACATCCAGAAGCAATGGTAGACCCAGCCTGGGGAGACAAGTGATCTTATATATGCTATCTTCACTCAAATTCATGAAGATGTGCAATGTGATGTCTGCAGCATTTTCCATAGGATGAAAACGTTGTTTCAAAATTCAAACAGAAGAGTAAATACACTAGAACAGCAAAGACCGTTGTTAAAGGAGAACGGTGAGGACCAGGTCCTGGGGACCCCACTCCTTCTTGCAGGGAGTGCTCACAAGCGCGGCTCTGACGATGTGCCGTGCACTCTCTGGCTGCTAACTGGCAGGATGGCTTCTGGAAGCACCAGCCACGCTGCTGGGAAATAACGTGGGAGGAGATCTACTCCTGCACAGATGTCAGCCTAGGAAACCGAGGACGGTTCTCTCTGTCTTATAGGGTCACTGTGAATTTGGAATCAATTCAACAGCAACTAACAACCACAAAGCCACTCTTAAACATAAACTCTATTATTACTAAATAAGCCATTGATGAATTGAGTAATTTATATGACTTAGTTTATAACTCTAAATTCTAATTATAGACTCAGTAAACTTGAAAAGTGTTATTGTCTTTATTTAACAATTAATACTCGGGTTCAAAATCAAAACCAAACTTTTCTAAGCACAGTGCACCAGGGAGTCAACCACTGATGGTTCCCACATGGACTAAGCTGACCTACATGACCATCCTGGGCCCTGGAGTTGGCTGGTGCCTGGGTGGAGTCCCTGCATTGTCCCATTGTTGATCACACTCCCCTGCCTCCCACTGGGTAACAGAAAATGCTAGAGAAGCACAGAAAAAGAGCGTGTGACCTCCAGCCATTCTGATCAGTAAGACTTACCTTGATAGTTAATGTCAGCGTATACCATTTTTTGGCTGAAACATCAGCAGATCCTGAACGATATATGGCCCATCCAGCTGTTAAAAAGATTACCTTAATGAGATTTGCTTTTTCAAAATCTGAATTACAGAATCAAAAAGCTCAGTCAGCGGGGTAGCGTGTCTCCTCACAGCTGTGCCTTCTATTGGACCTTCTGAGCTCCTCCTCTGCCCCAGGCTCACGCCACAACTGGGGAGGGAAACTCACACACTAACTACAGACCTATGAACAGGGGGCTGTGGGGAAAACTTCCCAAAGGTTTGTGGGAAAAGTCCATTATCTTTTAACTCCATTTGCCACGAACTTTCTGAAGCCCCTTTGTGTGAAGAACCTCGATCCAGCAACACACACACAGACCTGCTCTTCCTGATGCGGTTTCCCAAGACTTTTCTTCCTCTGCCGCCAATCTCCATCACGCCCCCCCCCCCACAGCCCAGCTCAGCTCTACATAACCCTAAAAAGGTTCGTATGACTATTTAGTTTTTGCTAAACTGCTCTACTCTGCAGAGAATTTAATAATGCCATAATCTCGCTTGTTATTTGCTTTGCACGTGTAAGTCTCCTGCTCATTAGCTGTCCACGTGCTCGGAAACAACAGGTCAGATAGACAGTAAGCCCTCAGTACGTGTTTTGGGATCATGCACTACCCCAGTCACTTACAAATGTCGCCTGTAACTTTGTAGGATCCGTTGGCAAAAATCCAAAAGAAAACTCCTCTGGCACTTCTCACCAGAATCCCACCTTTATTTACTCGTCCTGCAATGAACACACCTCCCTGGTCAGGGGTTTCTATGTAAACATCACTTGTTATTGTCAGGTTGATCCTATGGAAAGAAACTAGTGATTAGGGCTTGTCAAGGTGAACCCAGCACAGAGCTGCCTTCTCACAGCCACAAGCTCCCAAACTTCTCCTGGTGGGGGGGTGAGGGGGTGGGAGGAGTGGGGGGTGGAATGGGATCTGCACGGGGGAGGGGCTTCCAGACTTCAGGACAGTGGATCTATAACGCAAGCCATTTCACGGTCTCTTCTAATGGGCTCCGGGAAAATACTATGTCTTGATGTAAGTTTCTTAAGGGCATGCTTGTCTCTCTATAAGAAAACAACTCTCTACTAGGAACATCATACAGCATGAAAGATTAAAAAAACAAAAAACCTACACAAGTCTGAAGAAAACCCATTACCAGAAACCAGTTTCCATCAGCCGAGAGGCAGTAGAGACAATGCTAATTGTCCCTCAAGAACAAACTACGTTGGAGCAAGTTTTATTTTTAAATCTAAAACCGCCTCATTCCAGAGGCGAGGCCTCAGGCTGTTGGTGTGCCGCAGCACTTCTCTGTGGTGCCTTACGGGTCCCAAGGACGCTACGAAGCTAAGTCTCTCAAGATGCGTCCGGACTCGAGTCCGCATTCACAACAAGACTGCGAGAATAGGGCGAGGAGACTTCAGTACTGCACAGCGAAGCACCGCACAGCTCTTTTCAGAAACATCTCCCATCCCGATCCAAACTGTGCAGGCATGGCTGCTGAGCTGAGCACTGCTCACTACTCTCAATAAACTGGAAGGCTTGTATGGGTGTTTTGTTTTGTTCCCCCCACAGTGGAATTATACTATTTAAAAGTCAAACTTGAAAATACCTAACACCCATATAGTAAGCCAAAACCCTAGGATTCTCTAGTAACTTAAAGTGGAAGGTGAAGCTTTGTTTTAATTGCTATAAGTGTGTGTGTGTGTGTGTGTGTGTGTGTACTTGTCATCTACTACCACCCGGTAAAGGAGTCACTGGGTGACTAACTCCATTAGGAAAGCATGGGACTGCTACCGCTCCGTCTCTGAAAGGAGGGCCATCGACAAAGGCTGGGTGTAATTCTAACATTTTTCCAGCAGGTGGCAACAGCAGGCCAGCACATGAAGTTTCCAGCAAAACAAAAACAATACACAAATCACAAAGTTGAACGAGGAAAAAAAAAAATCACATGATTAGGTTCAAAGTTATAAAGTTTCTTATTCAAAACTGCCTCTGTAATAATTACTCTTAAGCGGTGAATCCGTGATGGACGGACAGCAGCAGCAAAAACAAAGCACTGTATTGCTGTGTAGTCCCAGTGAGAAGGTGAAATTTAACAGTGACCACACTCGGTGAGACTGCCGGCTGCTCCTGTCAAGAAGCACGGCCTCTGAGGCGTCAAGGAGCAGTTCCCCTCGGTGCCGCAGGGCTGCCATGAGTGAGAACCAACCACCTCGAGGCCAGTCGACTGGGTTTGGGTATTGGTGCTGAGAGAGGAAGGCCGACTGAAAATGTTTCACTGCAGAACAAGATTAGCAGGTTAATTCCTGCCAGCCCGACTTTGAGGACATCAATTGCACATACCATTTGTAATTCCCTATAACACTGATGGTGTTGGATGCATCCAGAGCCCAAGTAATGGGTCGATGGTTCAGAACCTGGCGCAGTGTGAAGCGATGCTCTCCAGGGTCGTCCCCGTTCATGAAATACTCAAAGACACCTGTCTGATCAGCAAAATTTGGAGCCTCACTGAACGGTGGGTCACCTGTTGAGAAGACAATGCGTTTTCCTCTTAACATTAAGTTTTAAATATGAATGTTTGCAATCAGTCAAAATCTAAGATATAGATACAACACAGTGACTTTTGATATCACCATCTATAAATGTCAATATGATGAGCCTGATATACAAGCTTGTATACTATCTGATCTATCCATTTTCCCAAAGGGAAAAACCATGAGTTGGGGAATAAGGCACTTTTGCTTCAATCTCTTGTTCAAATTCAGTCACTCAGGCATGTTACTTACTGCTCTGAGTCTCCAGTTTCCTCATTCCTAAGTGGGCCAAGGGGCTGGGTGATTAAATAATATAATGTAGATCAAATGCCTGTGTATGTAGAGGGGTATGTATATGTATTAGCATCTAGCAAGAGCTAAATAAATAATAGTTTTGCTATTTCTATTATCTTTCAAACCGGGTATTTCTATTTTCTTTCAAACCGGGTCTTAAATGAGTGCTCACAGTCAGCATGCACACAAACATTATAAAAAGCTAACTATATCAAATGAAGCAGAAACAAGTTTGGGGGCCAAGCGAGCTGTCATTTCTTTTGTGGTTATGTTAAATTACAGGCTTATGAAGGTTATAGAGCATCAATTTTAATTATAATATCCTAAAGCTATTTCATATACCAGTGCTTTCCCAAACATCCATGAATATTAACAACCGGGAATGCACAAAGTGTGAATCCAGGAAAAGCAGAAGTCGTCAAAAATGAACTCACAGGGTCTTCTCTGTGATAAACCGAGCAGGTGATTTCCTCAGAAAGGGAGCAGAGGCTGGGTCAGTGGCTGGGAGTCCCTGAAGCTCCTTTTAACTACAGATTTCTGGACCTAATCCGAGTCACCTGGCCTGTCGGTGAGACCCCCTAATCTTATACACCAATCCTTACTAGTCAACGGTTTTTGTGATTTACAAAATTATCTAATACAAGTCTTCTAACTTTTCAAACATTTCTTAATTACCTATAAGAGCTCTTTGAATAGTCTTGAGACACAGATATTCATAAAAGGGCAGCAAAAAATCCACCATATGCACGCAGTTCACTGGAAGCATGAAAAAACCGCTAACAATGTGCCTTCAATTCCATATGCAAAGAAAGTGGCAGGATGGCTTTCATGAGTCTCAAATCTGAATTTTCACCAAAACCAAGTTAGAATGTATCTGAAAACAAGCCCTATGTCTTTTCTGGTACCAAAAAAAAAGTGCAGGAACCTCAAGTTGACATTTACCTTGAAGTAGCAAGAAAAGTGGGTTTCCTTTTACCATACTGAGATCGCATGCACAGGATCTGACAGGTAGGAATCAACCTGTCTGGAGATGGAGACCAAGTTAAGTTTGAGTGAAACAACTCACGGATGTTGAAGTCATCCTTATAATGCGGCGGGAAGGGCTGGGACTTTGGAGGAGGCGGGTGGCTGCCCTTCTGCCCTGTGGTGAGGGTAGTAAGGGTGAAGAGCTCATCCTCCTCCAGCTCCAGGGTGAAGGTGCCATTGGTGTCAAGGGTCTGAAAGAGAGGGCAATGGTGTACTCGAGGCAGGGCCGGCGGCTCAGCTCATTGAGAAAAGGAGTACAGAAAGCAAACAATAAGCCTGAAAGAAAACAAACATTTCTATTAGCACAAGTGACCCGCTCGTGAAAGACTCGACCGCACGAAAGCACTGGCAATCTTCTTTCTTAGGGATCTTAGAAGACTTCGTCAAACTGTACTCTTTACAAGGGATTAAAAGGAAATCTCACTACATGGCGGGAAGAGAACTTGACAATTCCCAAATCTATTTCTATGAACTTATTCTTTCCCGTTATAAGCAAACTCCATAAGACTTGTGCATGGTCAGTACATGTAATGCTGAGATGTTATTTTTATAAACTTTACTAATATAAGAAAACAATAAAATCTTACCATTGACCCTGTTGCTAGTCCTAGAAACCCTTTAACATTAAGAAAGAAAAATCTTACTCATTGTTCAATATATTTCAAGTGGCAAGTTAGGCGTATGCCGTATTTATGATCTTGACCACTTACTTGATCTCTGTCAAACACAACCTCTTCATCTACAGAAGGAAAAAGTGTTCAAAGGGCAGTAGTGAAGATTGAAGTGAAAAATACTCTCTGTATCATAGCCGTTATATGACTGTGAAGACATCTGAAATCCCTTGCATAATCAAAGTAGACCTTAAATGCATGCTTGGTGCAGGAAACCGCGAATGGCTCCATTTTTCTATTTGGAGTTTCTACTCTCTTTAGTTTAACGGTAAGTTAGTAAGTTCGTTGGGGCACCCGATGACATACTCTGGATGAGAAACAACCTCAAATGGCACTGCCCTTCCTATGGAAAGGCTCTATGTTTATTATGCTATTTGCAGCAATTTCTGTACATAAAGTAGAGACTGTCTTTAGAACTCAGTAAATAATGGGAGTTGAATCACTGAGGGTAACTAGCTGAATATTAATAAGTCAATCATTTCAAAAAGAAAAAATACATTTGTGGCCATTAGGTAAAGGAATGAACTTGTGTGGCTCAATTCATTCTTTGAAACATTACCTAGAAGACCATCAGGGTCAAGCAGAACACCAGAAGGGGCACCTGAATAAAAGCTGACTGAAGAGGGCAGGCCTTGATCCTCAGGGTCTAATCGAGTGGGAAACTGGCCAACTCAAGAAGCACCTCGTTCCTGATGACTTCAGGGCTGAAGCTTGGGGAGAGGACCAGGGAGTGTTCGACAGCTCCAGAGAAAGAAATCCTGGAGCTGAGTCTTAAAGGATGTCAGAGAACACGACAAGAAGCCATGTGCAAAAGAGAAGCCAGTAACTCGGCTAGGCTATGCACTGAAAAATGCACGGCTAGGTTGTCAGAAGAGGTAGGGGCAGCGGGGGCAGGTGGCTGGAGAGGAAAGAAGTCCTCTGAGTCACAAGGAGACAGGGAAGGGCGCGTAACAGTGTGGGCTTTACATGAGAAATCATAGCCACTACGAGCAAGGGCCAGTCAAAACCCAGATCTACATTTTTGAGAGATTCTTTTGGCAGCAGTGTGGTAAGTAGACTGGAGAGTTGGACTAGACACTGGGAAAAGTTAGGAGGTAGTTTCAAAATCCAAGAGAGAGAGAAAATGAAGAATTGATATGAGCAGGAGCAACGGGAACAGGTATGAGAAATATGCGGATGATATAATCATCTCTACTGGATCACAGATGGGGTACAGAGGGTGGTGGAGAAATCTAGAACCTAGAACCAAGGTTCCAAACTTATTTGGCCTACTGGCCCCATATTATGAAAATAAAATAAATGTTCTGTAGCCCACAACCAAGGATAAAGGATAAACTATCTGCTTTTAAAGAACCCTTGGAGGCCGAGTACCGACCACCTTGGGAAAAACTAGTATTGAAAGAGATTCAGGAGCCAGGTAACACAATGGGTTGCTAAGCAGGGTTGCTAACCTCAAGGTCAGCACTTCAAACCCACCAGCTGCTCCAAGGGAGAAAGATGAGGCTATCTATCTATTCCTGGAAACCCATATGGGCAGTTCTAAGCTGTCCACAGGGTAACTGTGAGTTGGACTCGCCTCGCCAACAGTGCATAGGAGATTCAGGTTTCTACTGGACATTTCACCTGGGCAGACACGTATGGGTGGTGCCATTCATCAAGACAAACTAAGTACCTAACAGCAAAACACACAATAAACACAAACTGTGGTACTGCTTTGAAGAGGATTTCTCTAAAATTAAAAAAGAAGGCAACTTCATCTCCTTTATACTTTGGCTATGCAGTAAACTACACAATAAAATTCTTAATTCATTAACCAGATTTCTGTTTCCTTTTACTGCTGTAAAGTCCTAAATAGAGGAATGTTACTGGAAAACTACCCATATAGGATCCAGCTGTTTAAAAGAAAATTTCTTCGATGAATTTCCAATTTTGGTATACCACACTTGTAGCTCCGGTATTTGGCTCTGGAGAAGAAACAAAGACAGAAAGCTTGGTTGAGTGACTCAGCACATCCTCAGTGATTTCCAAAGCAGGAGCAGGTAAGAACGGTCCAGTGGCTCAGTTGCTATTTACAAAAGACCCATCCCTCAAATTTAAATAGCAAAATTTTAAAAAAAAATTTGTAAATTGGGTGAAAGTATGCAGAGCATATAGCATCATCAGTTTTGCACTCAGCAACTCATCCACCTCTTATGTGAAGTCATCCCACGCAAACCCCCCCCATGTGCCTGTCCCTTATCCCCCTTTCCCACTGCTCCTCCTTTCCTGACCCTCTGAACTTTGTCCCTGGGGAAATGCTGCCCTTCTGATTTCAAATGGTTCCAGTTCTGAAGGTAGGAAAACATTCCTCAAGCAGAGACAGGAGAATTTTGGCAAAAGTTTTAAAACAAATCTGCGTCTTTTTAGCCTCTTTTGAAAATCACTTTCTCAAGCCAGTGGAAAAAGATTTGTAGTAACTATCTGGTGTTGAAACACACTCTTTATGCTGTTAGGAGTTAGAAAGGGCCCTGAATTTGTCCATTCCTGTACAAGCTGCTAGAGTTCATGAGACTTCACATAAGAACTCCTACCCTGTGATAGACTATCTACATTCCCACATTCAAACCACACGGAAAATCCCACGGAGGCTGCCCGGGGCTTCTTACCAAAGAGCCTTTCAGGGAGAAGGAAGCGGCTTGTCTGGACACATTGAAATAAGGGAGGAAGGGCCTAATACATAAAGAATGTCTGTGACTCTGTGGGTAGAAAAAAGGTATCAGTTCATTCAGTGATGTACAAGCCAGTACCTTAAGGGAGGGGGGCAAATTAAGTAGTATAACAAAAACAGTATTCACTAGGCAGCAAATTATGAATTTACTTCCAAAAATAAGTTAACTGCTTAATTAACCAAAGGTTAATTAATTTAATTCTTTAATTAAGTTCATTCTTCTAATGGAACGTTTCTTGAAATGTGTATTCCGTAGACCTAAAATATCAGCTGTCTTCAAGTCCATGCTGGCTCTTGGCAGACCATGTGTACTCAGTAAAACTGTGCTCCAACGCTCGTCCAGTGGCGGTGTGAGCACAGTGACAGCCAGGCCTCCTTGCTTCCAAGGCACTTCTGGGTTGACTCAAACCCTACCTAGCCTTTAGGTCACAGTCATGGGGCATTCAAGCTCTCCCCTACAGATGTGCTGCATCAAAGTACAATCCAATGGCGTTTTGACTAAATCAAATTCTCAATTCAAAGCTAATCATTAACTATAGTTTATGGCGGATGCGTTAATTTTTATGTTGTAACTGTTTCCAAGTAAACCACATGAAAAGCAAGTTTGAAATGTGTTCCTTAAAAAGCATCTTATCTACCTATCCCCACTGCAACCACCTAACTACGTATTACAAACAGTGCTGGCCGTGTTAACATCATTTTTTAAATGCAAAAACCACCTGCTAGCAAAGGTAGGATAACATGGGATGAGGCCCAGGGAAGGAGACCAGATGGCGACCTGATGACGCACTCACACCCCACCCCCGCCCCTGCCCCGGCTCCTCTACAGCCGACGACGATCGACATGTCTGACAATTCATGAAATGGACCCTCCGTACTATATTATTTTAAACCCTACTTAGCAAATATCAATGATGCCTCCATAAAAGTGGGTTTAAAAACAAATGTGTTCAGTAACAATGTGCTACTAGGCTGATTTTCCCATCCTAGCTCGACTTAATCTAATTGCAATAACAAAACGTTACCATCGTCTCTATGATGATGGTGAGATTGCCTAAACCATCAGTGAGAGCCACATAGCTTCCGCCTTGCTTTAAAAGGCCAACTGTCTTCAGGTAATGCCAACCTGGTAGCGTGAACTGCGTGGTATGAGCTGTAGAAAAGCAGAGAAAGACCCAAATAAGAGAAAATAGCAATGATGCTTCTTTAAAAAGAAGAGAGAACAAGGGGCTGTCCTAACATGGTTTCAGTCTTGACACGCCAAACATTTTCTATTCTAAAGGGGAAAACCCACTGACCTCATTTTCCACTTTTAAATAATGAATCTAATGAACAGGACTATTTCAGGAAGAGTCTTAGATAGAGTGGTAGGCACAAATGAACCTGGACATGTGATTCAAGAATCATTCAGCCAGAGACTCAAAAATATTAGTCATTTTCTTTCCTGATAATAAGAGCTACTCTGGCCCTTGTTTAATAGAAATGAACCCCTGTTCATTTCTATTAAACTCATCATAATATAATTGAATGAAAAGAAGTTAAATAGTGCTCATGCATTTCAAGAGCCTAATCTTTATGGTTTCAAATAAAATTTTTTCCAAAATAAACATTTATTGGGCACCTTCAAAAAGGCCCTGAAAACTTACAAAGCTCTACTCTCCCAAAATAAAGCAGTTACACAATTAATCGAGCACCTAGATAATATGAGGCCAACAGTTTTAATATGGCAAGGAGTAACAAACAAGGAAATGCATATGCATCTTAACTTCTCCAAATTTTAGAAAAACAGCTTATGGAGTTTCCGCTCATCAACAGATTCACTGGGAGGACTATAAAAGGGGTCTTCACAACGTCTGGAGACTTTAGGTTATCTTTTCATCCCATTTTTCCATGAACTTTTTGAAACTTCTTTGTAATATTTTGTGGAAAACACATGAAGAAAGAAAATCATCACATTACTGGTAAGTGGTCACATTTTAAAATCTTTAATTTATAATTTTCCTTTGAAAGCGTCCTATCTTGGAAGGAATTGATCTTTTATAAAAAAAAAAAA